AAAAATCAAACATGAAAACACAATATAAATAAAATACACAAGTTGTAAAGACATAATAGGACAAAATAATGAGAATGTAGTAACTAAAATAAAAGATCAAGGATGCAAAAAGAAAAAAATATGTACTTATAATGAAAACATTAAAAGGATAAAATGTGCAAAAAAGGGAAACAGAAAGAACAATGGAAAAAGTAAAAATGTAAGAAAACCATAAAAAAGTGAAATAAGTCTCAAACATTGTAACTAGTAATGAAAAAGTGGAAAATGTGTAAGGGGGCAGAAGGAGTTCAGGAGCTAATCAAAAAAACAGTAGGGAGAAAAAACGATAAAATACTAGATATACAGGTGCGCCAGAACTCGCGCCCCAAAGAAAGATGCCATATAAGGTAAGATAAAAAATGTTAAAAAAAAATTATCTATAAAAATTTCGAAGTTATGAGAGTTTAAATTTTGCACTTTGACTCTATTTATTTCTGTTGGAAAAACAATTTTCCAAGTTTTTTTGCTACAGGCTATTAAAAGAGGAAACAAGGAAGCTGTATTCTAAATTGTTACTCTGTTTAATGTTATTTGTGACTTTTATTGGCAAAATTTTAGTACCTTTATTAAAAAATTATAAAAAAAACAAATACAAGATCATCAGTATCATTAAATAGACATAAAAAATGTCGAATGTCAAAAAATAAATGTCAAATTTTTTTGACAGATGAAATTTTTTCAATGTCCCTGGTATCTTACCTTACTTGAAATTTTTCTCTCGTGCGCGAGTTCTGACACAGCCTGTATATAAAGCAATTTAAAATGTTATGTGTGAACACACAAAGGCTTGTTTATATCAATTGATTAACAAATTTTTAAATTATTAGTTATTGGTAAACACAGAATATTGGTATAATCTCGATAAAACGTGGGTTTATTTGAGCGAATGGCGAATTTAGAATTAATGCCGCATTAAATGTGTACATCCCTAATGTGAGTTTATAAAGCATAACAGATCCTCCCTTCAATGTGCATAAATTTGTCTCGCATTTTTTTAGTTTGACATTTTTATTATTTGAATAAAATCGAAAATTGCAAACTTATCTTGTTTTTATATCTGAATTTTTTAAATAACAAAAAATTGAATTTTTATTAATTTGAAGCAAATTAAATCGTTATTTATTGGCTCCCCTAGCAGTCACGATGTCCCACTTTTCTGGCAAATTTTTATTAGCACGATCCATTAGTAGGTGGCCAATAACAATGACGCTTAATGTAGTGGTAGTATCCCATAACAATAACTTTTAACAGTCGGGTAAACCCCATGTGTTAGGTTATCACCAAACCACATTTCTCATAATAGCTAATGATCACAATTTGACGCAAATAAACCTTGGGAAACCTTAATAATTGATGGCAGGATACGACATGGATCGATGTTTAAACCGGAAACAAATGACTTCAAAGATAAGTTAATTCCGATAGGGGTTGTTCTAGATCGAGGCAGAGGCGCCGTCTTGTCTTGTATCAGTCGCTAAATCACCTGAATTACCACACCAAACATTATTTGCTTCAATTTTAAAGTTGGCGATTTTTTTATTTTTGCCGATTTTTGGCAATTGCCAATAACTCCGGAATTATTGGAGTCAACCTCTTGGTTTTGGAATCGTTGGAAAGCAAATTTAATTTTCTAACATATGCAAAAAAGTAATTTAGATTAATCAATTGTATTTCAGAAAGTATTAATTGTAATTCAGAACCGTAAACTGGATTTCAGAAAGCGTAAATTGAAATTCAAATTAGTGAATTGTATTTCAGAAAGTGTTAGTTATAATTCAGAGTTTGTCATTTGTAATTAAGAATTCGTCAATTGTAATTCAGAATTCGTTATTTTCATTTAAAAATTACATTACCAAAGATCCTTTGAAAATAAAATCTCTTACTTATTTTGCAAAATGGCAAGTTTATGTATTTTTTTTAATTCTGAAAATAAAATAATTCGTGTTTATGTGTAAACTTCATTTTGTGATAACAGTAAGTTACTCATCTGAATTACATTTGATATTTTCTGGATTACATGTAATATGAAATTGAATTTATTTACTGTTTTGAATTACATGTAATGGTTTCTGAATTACAATTATTACTTTATGAAATACAATTGACTAATCGGAATTCCAATTTATGCTTTCTGAAATTAAATTAACTGAATTATATCTCATAGTTTCTGAAACTCATTTTACTCTTCTGAATTACAATTAACACGTTTTGAAAGACATTTGACTAATCTAAATTTCAATTTACGCTTTTTGAAACTAAACTGACTAAAACTAAAAATTGCTGACAAACTCAAAAATATCGAAAATATAAATTCGACTATAGCTTTTAAACTATTACGATTTTTGAGGTTTTCTCGACGTCAATCGATTCCCTGGAACATTTTACATATCGTTCGTTTAGAATTACAATGTCGTATGAACCATTTTTAAATAATGCGATTTTTAGTTATCTTACTTTCTTAACAGATAAATCCAAAAAATATTTTTTTATAAGCATCTTATCTTAGTTAGCTGTGAAAAAGATGAAAAACAAAGTTGTATGTTGTAAACATAAAAATTATTAGAATTATACACTGTCGTATGTACATTTGAATTCCAAAATGATTTGCGTACCTCAAAATAAAAATTCACTTATGTCATATGCTATCATATAAAAATGCAGAAACTATGAAGTTTTCAACCCCAGAAAACTCAGCTCGCCAAGAAATAGTCAATGTGCATAGTTGCATAGAAAAAGTTTACAAAAAGCAGTTTCGCTACTTTTCTCTGTTTTAGAAAATGTCTCTACAAAAATTCTTTATAAAGTTTTTGAAATTACAAAAATTTCCTCGAAGCTCAGCGGACTATTTAACTAAAAAATTAAAGCAGTTAAATCACTGATAAAATGGATGCCAAAAAGGACCAAGATTTTTTCAAAATTATGTGTAAAATATTTAACAAAAAGCCTCAGCACATAGATATTTAATTACCTGCAGGATAATCTAGATCTTTTTCATGTGTAATTCAGAAACCACCATATGTAATTCAGATTAGTCAATTTAGTTTCAGAAAGAGTAAATTGTAATTTAGATTAGCCAATTGTCTTTCAGAAACTGTTAATTGTACACGAATTATTTGAACAAAAACACGATTACGTCTTACCAAACTTTTATTTAAAACACAACGCGTTTCAACTCAGATGAGGATGACCACTTTGTGGTTGAAACGCGATGTGTTTTAAATAAAATAATGGTGTGAGGGCTATTCGTGTTTTTGATCATCGTTTCCATACCAATTAGATCCAAGAAAAAGAACACGAATTATTTTATTTTCAGAATTAAAGAATTACATAAACTTGGAATTTTACAAAATAAATAAGATATTTTATTTTCAAAGAAATTTTGGTAATGTAATTTTTAAATGAAAATAATAAATGCTGAATTACAATTGACTAATCCGAATTCCAATTTACGCTTTCGAAAATTAAATTAACTAATCTGAATTATATTTGATAATTTCTGAAATTCATTTTAATGTTTTGTATTACAATTAACACTTTCTTAAAAACAATTGACTAATCTGAATTACAATTAATATTTTCTTTAATGTATCTTACGCTTTCTGAATAACACTTAAAAAAGATGTCGATAATATTAATTGTTGTAGTTCCAGTTAACTCAAGTTTTTGTTAGTCTCATTAATTTGTATATTATATACCTAAGATTGTAAATTTAGTTTCGTCCTTGTACTTGTATTTATTGGAATTGAGGACAAAATAATAAACTTATTTTTTGTGCTTTCGACTAATTTTGTGGTTTTCTTTATTGATCAATTTATAAACACTAAAAAATACAATATTTAAAAACTACATTTACATTATATGGCGTAATAGTTGGCGGTGATTTGAGTGTGTTGTGAACGGACCACAATTTGTAATACGTTAAATTTCATTTTAATAACTTTCAATACGATGGTTCGTTCACAATCAGACTTTTATAGATAGCTTTGACACCAAATTTAAAAAAAACACCTGTAATTATTCCTACCGTTACACAACAATTCGAAAAGTTATTTAATAAAAGATGCATTAAATGTATTTTGAAAAAAAAACATTTTTTAACAACAGCAAAGCAACATGATTGTTTTCAAAGCCGTTTCATCAAAATAATATATCTTTGCGGCAATTTACTAAATAAAATAATGTAAAAATTTGTTAAAAAAACGGTTTGTTCGACGAATTCTACGCGTAATTCTACACCTTTTTCAAGTGTAATTCAGAAAGCGTAAGATATATTTTCATAAAACGTTAATTGTAATGTGAATTACAGTTTCAGAAAGCGTAAATTGTAATTTAGATTAGTCATTTGTCTTTCAGAAAGTGTTAGTTGTAATTGAAAACAGTAAAACGAATTTCAGAAACTATCAGATATAATTCAGATTAGTTAATTTAATTGCAGAAAGCGTAAATTGGAATTCAGATTAGTCAATTGTATTTCAGAAAGTGTTATTTTCATTTAAAAATTACACTATCAAAATCCCTCTAAAAATAAAATACATATCTTATTTATTTTGTAAAATATCAAGTTTATGTATTTATGTATCTGAATTGCAATTGATATTTTCTGGATTACATGTAACATGAAATTGAATTTATTTACTGTTCTGAATTACATCTAATGGTTTCTAAATTACAATTAATACTTTCTGAAATACAATTGATTAATCTGATTTCCAATTTATGCTTTCTGAAATTAAATTAACTAATCTGAATTACATCTTATGGTTTCTGAAACTCATTTTACTCTTCTGAATTACAATTAACACTTTCTGAAAGACAATTGACTAATCTAAATTACAATTTACGCTTTCTGAAACTAAATTAACTAATCTGAATTACATGTGATGGTTTCTGAATTACACTCAAAAAAGGTGTAGATATTGTATCGGTTTTGGATGAAATTTAAAAAAATGATTTTATTGCAGATTGACCCACCACCAAGCGGGGGTCAGAATGTTCGTAATTCCAACAATAGACTGATGGCGGACGATGGGAGTTCCGATGACGCCAATACACCCTTACAGTCACCTCGTTCACAAAACACCAGCAGGGAGGAAGACGACAGTTCCAACGCCAACGAATCAGAATGCAAAAGTCCAAGCCAGAGGTACTTTTTTAATTTTCAATTCGTTATCCTCAACTAAAAACATTACTAAAATTTTGAAAATTTACCTCCATTAAACCGGTATTTTTCCTCTTAAGAAAACTAAAAAACTATTTGTCTATTTTGCGTCTGAAAGAAAGCTTATTTCGATACCAAAACCGATGCTTTAATGAGCCATTCAATTCACTCTCTAGAGGCTGGTAATGGTGATTTTCAGCGGCGATTTGAGCGATTTCTCTTTTTTCAGGTTGTTACATGAAATATTTGCAGTATTCGTTATTAATTCAACAAAAATTTGAAAAATACGTGAGACTTGACACTTCGAAAAACGAACTTGTGACATTTATTACTAAGGCTCGGATCATATGCAAAATGCATATTTGGTGTTAAGAGGTATATCAACAAAATTGTAAGTTTTCTATGCATATAAATTGTTTTTTGATCAAAATAAGTCAATTAACAAATGCATATTTTGTATATTTTGTCAACTTTGTGCATATTTTAGGAAATATTGCTTATTTGTGCATATTTTCTTCAAACTTCAGTTCAAGTTAAAAATTAAACAGTTTAAGAAAAATAATTCGATTACAAAATATGTTAAAGAAGAAACAACCGGTAATTTGTAAGCCAGATTCAAATGCTGTTTCCTTTTTAAATTCGTTTTATACAGAGCGAAAATAAAGTATGGAGCCTCCGGAAAAATAATTAATATGAATTAAAGAAACATAAAAAATGTGAGAACAAAATTTTGTTTTATTTTTGAGTTAGGAGGTTTTTTTGTCAAAATTTCAATTTATGTAATTTACTTTTTAATTTAATATAAAATAGATATTTGTAATTCTTAGATCATACTCTTAATGAGAGAAATGATTTTTTAGTGGGTTGCCATTTAAAAAAATAAGTATTTTTGTAGAACTTAAAAATAATGAAAATTTCGAAAAATTTTATTCTTGATAAAATATCACATTTTTATAGGTAGTACGTACTTTATTCACCAGTTAGTTTTTCCAAAAATCGATAGTTTAAACAAAAAATGTTTGGTTCCACACTTTTTTAATTCACTTGGTAAGGCTATAATCCTCCATTCGGATATAATCCATTCGGACCTGCTAATGAATTTTAGAGAAATTGTTTAAAGTGATATTTTCTGAAAAGTACATATTTCTGAGAAAGGCTTTTTTTAATTACTAAGTTTTTAAAATGGCTTTTCATTGGCAAAACCAACTTATTTATTCTCTTTCGATCATAGTGTACAATTCAAAATGTGGAAAATACAAAGTTTAGTGTATTCGAGGATAAAAATTTATCCCAACTTTGATATTTATTGTTAAAAGTTTTGCATATCGATACATATTTGACATTTATCTTTTGACATTTGACATTTTTTTATACCTATTTAATAATACTGATGATCTTCTATATGTTTTTTTACAATTATTTAGTAAAGGGACAAAAATTTTTCCAATAAAACCCACAAATGACATTGAACAGAGTTACAATTTAGGATACAGCTTCCTTGTTTCCTCTTTTAATAGCCTATAGCAAAAAAACTTGGAAAATTATTTTTCCAACAGAAATAAATAGAGTCAATTTCGAAATTTTTATAGATAAAATTTTTTCAACATTTTTTCCATGTTCCTGGTATCTTACCTGCGCCAGAACTCGCGCCCCAGAGAAAAATTTTAAGTAAGATAAGATACCAAGAACATGAAAAAAATGTTTAAAAAATTCTCTGTCAAAAAAATTTGACATTTATTTTTTCACATTTGACATTTTTTCATATCTATTTAATGACACTGATGATATCGTATATGTTTTTTTATAATTATTTTGTAAATGTAAAAAAATTTTGCCAGTAAAAGCCACAAATAACATTAAAGAGAGTTACAATTTAGGATAGAGCTTCCTTGTTTCTTCGTTTAATAGCCTATAGCAAAAAAACTTGGAAAATTATTTATCCAACAGAAATAAATAGGGTCAAAGTGCAAAATTTAAATTCTCATAACTTCTAATTTTTTATAGATAGAATTTTTTAAACATTTTTTTCATGTTCCTGGTATTTTTCTCTGGGGCGCGAGTTCTGGCGCACCCTGTGTGGCATTTTTCTATGTGGCGCGTGTTCTAGCGTACCCTGTATATTGGAGCATATTTCTTAATGTCTCGTGCATATTTTACGGATTTTTTGTGCATATAATCCGAGCCTTATTTATTACCAGCGACAACCTTATTAGAACAAATTTCCTAAATTTTGAAAAAAATACCGTTTATGTTAAAAAAATACGCAAAACGCGCAAAATAGAATAAATAGCTTAAAATCTTGTTTCATAAGTCATTTGTGGGAATTCGTTCTTTATAAAACTCGGGCTTTGCTGGTCGTTTCATAAACCTGAACTCGTCGTTGCTTATATTATTTTTTTTAAATAATTCTGTCAATGTGTATAACCTACGACAATTATTTTAAAATCCATGACAACCCTTGACCAAGATAATTTTTGATCTCACGGTACTATTATTTCGCATTTATTTTGTTTAAATTTAGCGAATTGCGAATTTTTCCACCATTACCAAATAAAACCCTTATAATAAAACAATAAAACTAAATTAAAGCACAAAATCAGGACATTTTAACGACAGTCATAAAAGTGGTGACAGTAGATAGTAAATTATAATCACACAGTAAGTACTTCCCGGGGCGCTTGCATCAAACTCTTCACCGTTTTATTACTAAATTCTGCTCTTTCATCATGTTCTACACACAAAATTGTGATATTAGCCGCTTTTTCATGGTCTAATTTGCAGAAAAAAAGACAAAATATTCATTTGTAACGTAAATGAAACAATTTGTGTTACAAAACATCTTAAATTGTATTTAAATGGTTTCACATAAAAATTGTTGATTTTTTGCGATCTTCCTTCGGTTTTGCTAACAAATTTCGTGTATGTGTTTAATGCTTCTGCAATCAGGATGGCACTCGATTCCACTTCTGATTGGAGCTTTCGCCGTTTCCTCTTTGATTGAAGTCGACTCTCTTTGATCCTTTTGTTAAAACAGTCGACTAGGTGCCACAACATAAACAAACCGCGTTTCCTCTTCTATTTTCTTGTCTTTGAACCAATTTTATTCTCACGATAGATTATGAAAATTTAAAACCACCACCTCGTCGTCAATTTGAATGATTGCTGGATTTCATTTAAGGCAAGTATGTGGTAATTTGGTAAGAAAATCGATAAGTGCTGGAAAATATTACCCACCTTGAACGTAATTATCTCGGGAGCGCAGACTAGGCTTCCAACACAAGAGATAAATGTCTCTCCCAGGCGGGGATCCTACTCTAATACTTTTTACCACGTATTGTGCTCAAATAACTCGCAGTTATCTTGAAACACGGACAACTTTGCTGAATAATTATCAAAAAACTTATTTATGCAAATTATAAATACTTGCCGATTTTAATAATAATAAATTCCGTATTTTTAATTTTTTGATAGGGTAAGTCCGGGAGAATTGGACAACCTCTGTACCCTATGTTAAAGGAAAATATTTTTTTGATAAAGTACCCGAAAAATAAAAATTATTGTTTCATGTCATTTTCCCCAAAAATGTTAAATTTTCGAGTTAATAAGCTTTTTAGAATAGATGTTATAGTCCCAACTTAATTATCATGTTTCATAATTATGTTTAGAATAATGATCTTTAATAGGAAAAATATAAACTTTTTTTTCTCATATAAATGAAAAAAATTATATACAAAAAGATTGTTACAAAATTAAATCAATGAATTCCTATTGTAGTTGTTTTGTTTTTGATATTTTTAGATTTTCTGTTATTTAATCTAAAAAACTGTATAACAAAAATTCCAAAACTAGGAGGAATAAAGAAAGTAAAACACAAAAACAAGTTTTTAACACTGTAGAGTATTATTAAAAAAAATTAATAATCCTTATTTTTTGATAAATACTGAGAAAGAATGGTTTCTAACAATATACGCACTGAAAAAAAAATTTTTGCTTCAAGCAGGTATGGTGAAAATAACATTTATTTCAGAATATTTTTAGTTCAATTTCTTTCAGAATGTGAAATGTCAGAATCAAAAAGAAAAATTTATTTAAAAATTATTTATGTTTGATAAACACTAAGAAATAATGTTTTCTAAGAATATACCAACTGAAAAAAGTACAATTTTTGTTTCAAACAGTTATCATTTATTTAAGAGTATTTTTATTAGAATTTTTTTAAGAATGTGAAATGTTTCACTTGTTGTCTCAAACAGAAGAAATTCTTATTTGTTTGATAAATACTGAAGAAAAATATTTTCTAATAATGTACGAGTACCTATTACCTCCTGCCGTCATGTTGAAAATAACATTCATTTCAGTATATGTTTATTTCAATTTCTTTCAGAATATGAAATGTTCAGTCAGTATTGCAAAAAGATAAATCCTTGTGTCTGAAAAATATTGAAGAAGAATATTTTGTAACAACCTATTGAAAAAAATAAAATTACTGCTTCATGCTTCAATTGCTTCAATCACATTTATTTCCTAATTTTTTTATTTCAATTTCTTTAAGAATGTGAAATGTTTCAGTCCATATCTCAACAAAGAAGAAATTCTTATTTGTTTGATAAATACTGAAGAAGAATATTTTCTAATAATTTACCTACTGAAAAAAAATGCTTCAATCAGTCCATTTTTTTAAAATGTCAAATGTTTTAGTAGCTATCTCAAAAAAATCTTTATTTTTTTTCTAAATACTAAGGAGGATTTTTTTTTGACAATGTACTTACGGAAAAAATAAAAGTTTTGTATTAAGTAGGTAGTAAAATTTATTTCAGAATGTTTTTATTTCAATTACTTTAAGAATGTGAAATATTTCAGTCGGTATATCATAAAAAAGTATTTTTTTTTGATAAACACTGAAGAACAACAATGTACCTACTGAAAAAATATTTGTTTCCGATTTTTTTTATTAAGAATGTGAAATGTTTCAGTCGATATCTCAACAAAGAAGAAATTCTTATTGTTTGATACATACTGAAGAAGGTTTTCTAACAATTTACCTACTGAAAAGAAAAATTGCTTCAAGCAGTCGTGTTGAAAATAACATTTATTTCAGAATATTTTTATTTCAATTTCTTTAAGAATGTGAAATGTTTCAGTCGATATCTCAAAAAGAAGAAATTCTTATTTGTTTGATAAATAATGAAGAAAAATATTTTCTAACAATTTACCTACTGAAAAAAAAATTTGCTTCAAGCAGTCGTATTGAAAATAACATTTATTTCAGAATATTTTTATTTCGTTTTTTTATGAAATGTTTTAGTAGGTATCTCAAAAAATCTTTAATTTTTTCTAAATACTGAGGAGGAATGTTTTCTAACAATTACTTACGGAAAAAATAATTTTTTTCTTTGAAGTAGTAAAATTTATTTTAGAATTTTTTTATTTCATTAAGAATATTAAATATTTCAGTCGGTATCTCATAAAAAAGTATTTTTTTAAATAAACAATGTACCTACCGAAAAAATATTTTTGTTTGTTGAAAATAACATTTATTTCAGTTTATCTATATGTATTACTAAAATTATTAGACCAATAAGTGAACCAGGAAAATTTAACTTTTTTAACTTGCTTAGTAAGGTAAATTGGGAATTTGCAGACTCTGACATTGACCCAAATAACAAATTCACCATGTTTCTTAACAACATACTATATAGTTTCTACTCTGCGTTTCCAGAAAAACAGATCAAATGTTAC